CTTCTGACCTCCAGAAAAGTCTGCAGTCAGAGACACGAGGGTTTCCTATTTCTCCAACCTGGTGTCCCAGAGCAAAGGAAACCCCAAGGTGCTGTTTAACACCGTCAGCAGCATTGTCTCTCCTGCCTCTCCTACAGCCTCCATCCACTCTGTTGCAGATGGTGAGAACTTTCTGTCTTTCTTTGTGGACAAAGTCAATAAGGTCAGATCTAGCATCTCTCCTGCAGCCTTATCGCTGCCTCTCCCGATTCCAACCAGGCCTATCATCCTAGATAGCTTTGCTCCTGTTTCTTTGCCTGAGCTAACCAAACTAGTTAACTCTATGAAGACCTCTGCATGCCCCCTCCACATCTTACCCTCATCTTTGTTTAAAAGTGCTTTTCAGTCCATCGGTCCCAGTATGCTCTCCATAATTAATGCTTCTCTGGTGTCTGGTCAGGTCCCTGCTTACTTTAATAATGCTGTAATCCACCTGAGTCTTGACCCCTCTCTCCATAGCAGCTTCAGACCCATCTCTAAACTTCCGTTCATCTCCAAGATCTTGGAAAAGGTTGTGGCTAAACATCTCACAGCTGCTCTTGATGAACATAACATCTATGATAGTGTCCAGTCAGGTTTTCATAGAGCTCATTCTACTGAAACAGCTCTTCTTAGGGTCTCTAATGACCTTCTGACCCACAGTGATGCAGGGGAATGTTCTGTTCTGGTCCTGCTGGACCTGACTGCAGCCTTTGACACTGTTGACCATCACCTGCTACTGGAGAGGCTGAGAGACTGGGTAGGCCTATCAGGATCTGCTCTGGAGGGGTTATCTTATCTGTCTGAGCGTTCCTTTTCTGTGGCCATCTCCAAATTTCGATCCTCCAACACCTCCCTCGCCCATGGTGTCTCACAAGGTTCTGTACTGGGGCCTCTACTCTTCCCCCTCTATCTGCTTCCTCTTCAGCACATCCTGAGATCCCGCTGAGCCTGAGATCAGTGGACACAGTGCTCTCCTTTAAACTCACCTGTTCAGGCTTTGGTGTGACCTTCATCACCCTCTCCTTGTTCTGCTCTCTCTACCTATTCCACCTTCCTCAGGATCCACTGATTTTCCTCTTTCCTATTCACTCTCTCTTCTTTACATTTTTAATTGTCTATTTTTGCTCATTTTAAATATATTTATAATCATTTTCTAAATTATTTTTTATATTTTAAATTCGTCTTCTTCTTCTTCAAAGATTCTGAGTTCTATAAACTGTCTGAATTACCAGTGTCTATCAGCTATCACCAGCTGCCTAGAAGAAAACTTCCTCCAGTTAAACTCTGAAAAGACAATGTCTGATCCTTGCCCCAGAGCATGGTTCCCCTGATTAATTAAATTCAATTTAGTTTATTTCTATAGCGCCAAATCAGGACAAGAGTCGTCTCAAGGACTTTCACAAAGTAAACATTCCAATACGGGTCAAGTCATCATGAAGCCAATCAGTAACAAGTTTCCTATATAAGGAACCCAGCAGGTTGCATCAAGTCACTGACTAGTGTCAGAGTCTTTACAGCAATCCTCATACTAAGCAAGCATGCAGCGACAGTGGACAGGAAAACTCCCTTTTAACAGGAAGAAACCTCCAGAGGATCCTGGATCAGTATAAGCAGCCATCCACCATGACTCAGTGGGGAAGTAGTCAACAACTTGGTCATTTATCTTCTGCCGTCAAGACAAACTTAAGAAATTTGGATGTTTTTGACCAATCAATGATTCTTGAAGGCCACTCAAAAACATTGGTCCATAACTGTTTTTATCACTTAAGAAATATCTCTAAACTGTGAAGGTTGGTGTCAAAACATGAACTTGAAATGGTTCTCCATGCCTTTATCTCCTCCCATCTAGATTACTGTAACACAATCTTCACATTCCATGCTCTAGTTGTTTTTTAAAACACAGAACAGTTTTGTTACCTGTTTTCCCGCTACGTTTCGTTTGCAGCTGCAAACTTCCTCAGGCTGACATGTGTCAAACGAAACATAGCGGGAAAACAGGTAACAAAACTGTTCTGTGTTTTAAAAAAGAACTACAGCATGAAATTAGAAATACGATACAGCAAGAACACACCTAAGATGTTCAAAGAGAAACACTCTTCACATGTTTTAACAAAAAAGACTTTGACCGCCTTCAGTTGGTCCAGAACTTTGCAGCGAGGCTCCTAACTAGAGCAAACAGAAGAGCACACATCACTCCTATTCTGATGTCTCTGCACTGGTTACCCGTTTAAAAACTTTAGAGTCCATTTTAGAATCCTGACTAGAACTTTCAGGGCTCTACATGGTGTAGCGTTATGCCTAATCTACATGAGATAGTGGCCAAGGTCTTTCATGCACTCTGCTCATCTGAACTGCTTCACCTCTGTTAACAGTTCAAGATGAGGACGAAGAACTCTCTTTTGATAAATACATAATCAAACCACTTTGTTATTACCAATGATAATGTGAGCCCAATGTTCAATCAATCTGTGAAATGACAATGTTATTACTTGATATTATAATCCTGTGATCAGTAGTATTTTACAAGTTATTATAATCCTGGACATTTGCACTAGACACTGATAACACAGAGTAATGCTAAAGTCACACGCCACATTTCCTTTTGTCTGATCCAATCAGAACCTTCGTTTCTGATGCGAGGCGTGGTTTTCTGTGGTGTTTGTACAAACCCTCTTTTGCATGTCAAATTCTGATTTGCCAGTAAACCAAAATATGGCAATTATAAAAACTATTCCACGCCACCTTTTCTTTAGTTCAAAGCGTTCTAGAGAAGTCTCGGACAGGCCATCCGGACTTCCTCTTCAGCCAAAAGAACCTTGACAAGCTGGATAAAATCTGTTGCAAGTTACACCTGACCGCAACGGTTCTTTCAGAATAAAAGCTGAACCTCACAACCCCTTCAGGGTCTCGCTGACGCCAATGAACCTGTCATGACATGGAAGCATTCCAAGGCTGGTTTGGTCGGCACCGCTGCTTTTCTATCGGTTTCGGTTCCAAGGAGGGTCCAAGAGGACCTCAACATTCTGGATCCAATCGGAGGCTTCCCCTGGGGTACGTAGACAGACAGATGGCGTTTCATGTGTGTTATAAATCTCCAACTAAAGTTTAGAGCGAAACATTCACTCCCACTTAGAACTAAATGCTTCTCCGGATCCGCTGGTTCTGATAATAACATTCCACACACACACCATCATCTCACGTCTCACTCCACCTTAGTCCATCAGTACACAGAGTGTTAAAGTTAGTCTTGTTTAAATTGTGTAGAAATAAATTTCTTAACTATTTTAAACCTGACTCTCTCGCTTTCCTTGGAGTTAATACAAAGTGTTGCTTAATCCTTGCAATAAAAAGTTATGATCTTCTGGTTAAAATATTCAAAGATCCATCAGATTGATATTTCATATTTCTATGGAATCTCACATTTTATGGTCCATAAGTAAGATGTAAACTACCCATCCTTTACAATGGTCAAGCTCCTCCCTGTATTACTGAACTGTTAAAGCCTTATGCTCCAACCCGAGCCCTCAGGTCCACCCACCAGAACCTTCTAGAAGTTCCAAAGATCAGATATAAAAGTCCAGGGGTCTCATTTACCAACCATTGCGTAGAATCCTTACTAAAACCGTACTTAAGCTCAGCAAAAAAAAAAAAAAGTACTTATACCAAGTAGGTTTGTGATCTATCAAACATGGAGAACGCACAGCTGCACGCAATCTCCGCTTCATAAATCAGAAACTATTTAGAAAGGTTCTCAGCTGCTTTTTAGTCACATCCCGCCCTCACCACGCCCACTGCCATAAATAGTCAATGCAAAGTGCCTTGTGGACCTCATGAATATACATAAGCTGGCTGTTGCAGCGCTCTGCCAATGACGATGGCGATCGTATATCAAGGCAGATCAAGGAAGTGCAATTTCACAGATTGAGGTACTTGTGGGTGAGGTGGAGAAAGGAAAGGAAGTGCTTTTGCACAACAAATAAGTGAAAATCCACTAGCAGCGTTGCTAAAGCCGTCAATGCTGAGTTCTTCAGAGAGATCTGTGGCGGATATAAAAAAATGGTCCGATAAGGATTAGATCCCCAGACTCCCAGATGAAAGTCAAGCGCGCTAACCAGTCACCCAAACGGAAATCTCTCTTGCCCAAGTAGCCAGGGTGCATCATTAATCGGGTCACAGTGACAGGACACACTGTCACAGACACATGACATTCTGTCTCAATCTGTCCCCCTGCTGATATTCAACATTCCGTATTCTGCGCTTCAGGCTGTGTGTGTGTGTGTGTGTGTGTGTGTGTGTGCGTGCGTGCGTGCGTGCGTGCGTGCGTGCGTGCGTGCGTGCGTGCGTGTGTGTGTGTGCGCGCTGCGCGCGAGTGCGGGGTGGCTTGTTCTATGTGCGCACGAAGCAGTACAAGTGATAATGCTGCAGGAATTCATAATTTTATCTTCTCAGCAGCAGCACTGAAGGTGCTCTCATGTCCAAAATGTGTGTAAGCCAGGTCCTTAGTCAGCTTAAAGTTGCGCACATTTGCGCTAAGTTTTCTTTCATAAATCCAAAGTTTGCATGAAAAGTTGCTTACGCAGTTTTCCGAACCAGTTTTGTGCGTAAGCAAGCTTGATAAATGAGGTCCCAGGTGATTGCTCCTTCCAGACTGTTGCACCCTGACTTTGGAATGATCTTCCTTTATCCTTATGCGGCACTGACAGTCTGGACACTTTTAAAAAATCTTTTGTGTTATATTCATGTGTATTATGGCCTTTGTTTGATCTTTGTGGTTTTTGTTTCTGTGATAAGCGGTGTGTGTGTGTGTGTGTATATATATATATATATATATATATATATATATATATATATATATATATATATATATATATATATATATATATATATATATATAAACTTAGCTACTTACTTACACACACACACACACACACACACACACACACACTAGTCGGTGTACTGTGTGGGTATTTTTCCCCAACCTTTCCGATGGTCACAATGTCATCTTTTCCATGCCAGTCCGGCTCGTAGACCTCATGCAGTGACTGAGTCAGGTTGATGGAGGCCTGCTGCATCCCTGTAGCACAAACAGAGTCAGTCTGGAGGAAGTCATGGAGCATGGAGCCATCTGCTCCAGGATCAGATCCTCACCTTTGATTGCCGACATGTAGGCCTTCATCTCCCTCTGTAAGCGTCCGCCTTCAGACTGAATCAACAAACACAAAGAGGTCAGGGGTCATGGAGGTCAGAAGTCTACTGCAGGAAAAAGTTTGTAAACAGAAAGGAGGAAAATATCTGTAATGAACCAACGATGGAACACCTAAACTCTCATCTGTACCAACAACCACGCTATTATTATTATTACCAATAAGAAGCTTAAGGTCCTTTTATTGACCTTTAGGTCTGCCAACCTTCTCTGTATGTCAGAATTACTGTTTTTTACATTTGCACAAGAATTTCAGAACATACTTCTAAAACTTACTTAAAAAACTTCCTAGTATTTTTTATGATGCGTTATGATTTATTCTCCAAACCATGCAACTCAAAGTTATCATATGAAAAATATAAAGATGATGATATTTAAATAATATACAAGCTAAATGTGATGAAAACAAAAAATTATAAATAGTTTGAACTAAAGTGAAAAATGAAAAAAATAAATAAAATTTCTTCCTGACTCCTGATTAATTTATTCACTTTTCATGTTTTTAATTTCATCAGTCAAATGTTGCTTCACTAGTGAATAACTGCATATTTAAAGGGGCATTATGGAAGTTTGACAGCCAAAACATGTATAGAAATGATACATTTCTTCTTCATACATTCTCCTGCAATGCCCTGGTCCTGTAGAATGAGCCCTGGCATTTTTACTGTGATTGCCTGTTTTTCTGTAAAAATCACAGAAAAAGAGAGTTGCTCGGGTCGAGCAGGCTGCTTCATGCGCGTTCACGCTCAGGCATAGCCCTCTGAACCGTTCTTTGAGCGTTGTTTCAGCTATCATCAAGGATATACATGTTACAGATACAAAGGACATCATTGGCGCTTTAGCTCGCCTAGTAACATGTCGGACTTTTGTGCAGAAAACCTGGGTTCGATTCAGGATGTGAATATAGTTTATTTAGAGTTTCTTTTTTACATTAATGGTATATTTTTTGCAGTAAGATGCCCACATTTTTATTTGAGAGTCGCCGAATGGCATTGAATTCACAGGGAAAAAAAGGTGTGGTTCAACTTTCATTTTGGAAAAATTTTTCAAGCAAGGGAATGATCTGAGCATGCAGGACTGACCCGTTTTAAACCTTTGTCGGCTGTGCTGAAGAGAAAGGTACAGAACCAAATTATTTAATTAATTAGCTGTGCGTTCTCCTGTCCTCTGTCCTCCGGACCACACACACACACACACAAGGGACTGTCTCAGCTGTTATTTTCGTTAAGGAGTGTGCACGTACAGCATGCGCGCCTCGTGCACGAGCCTACTATTGAAGCTGCCCTTACGCTTTTGGCCTGAGGGGGCAATCGCAAGCATGAAAATTCAAAACTCCGTAAAGTCCCTTTAAATGATTTGCTGCATTTTTTGGTGACAATATTAAATAAAGTTGGAGCTTTCTTTTTTTTCTCTGTACCTGTTTGAGCGATGCTCTAACCAGCGGGTCTGGGGTTATTGGAGGTCAGAGTCACGGTGCACTCCGACCACAGTGAGAGAGACGGGGAGAGAAAGACAGACAGACAGGGAGAGAAAGACAGATAGACGGGGAGAAAGACAGACAGACGGGGAGAAAAAGACAGACAGAGGGAGAGAGAAAGACAAATAGACGGGGAAAGAAAGAGACAGATGGGGAGAGAAAGACAAATATTTGGGGAGAGAAAGACAGACAGATGGGGAGAGAAAGACAGACAGACGGGGAGAGAAAGACAGACAGACGGGAAGAGAATAACAGACAGACGGGGAGAGAATGACAGACAGACAGGTGAGAGAAAGACAGACAGCCATACATTGGAGAGAAAGACAGACAGACAGGAGAGAGAAAGACAGAAAGGCAGGGAGAGAAAGACAAACAGACAGACAGACGGGGAGAGAAAGACAGACAGACAGGAGAAAGACAGACAGATGGGGAGAGAAAGAGAGACGGACGGGGAGAGAGAGAAAGACAGACAGACAGCCAGACAGACAGACAGACGGGGAGAGAAAGACAGACAGGAGAAAGACAGACAGATGGGGAGAGAAAGAGAGAGACGGGGAGAGAAAGACAGACAGACGGGAAGAGAAAGACAGACAGATGGGGAGAGAAAGACAGACAGACAGACGGGGAGAGAAAGACAGACAGACAGGAGAGAGAAAGACAGAAAGACAGGAGAGAGAAAGACAGAAAGAATGGGAGAGAAAGACAGACAGATGGGGAGAAAAAGATAAAAAGATGGGGAGAGAAAGACAGACAGACGGGGACAGAAAGACAGACAGACGGGGAAAGAAAGACAGACAGACAGGGAGAGAAAGACAGGAAGACGGGGAGACTAAGACAGACAGATGGGGAGAGAAAGACAGACAGACATGGAGAGAAAGACAGACAGACAGACAGGGAGAGAAAGACAGACAGACGGGGAGAGAAAGAAAGACAGACAGACGGTGAGAGACAGACAGACAGACGGGGAGAGAAAGACAAACAGACGGGGAGAGAAAGACAGGAAGATGGGGAGACTAAGACAGATGGGGAGAGAAAGACAAATAGACGCAGAGAGAAACACAGACAGGGAGAGAAAGACAGACAGACGGGGAGAGAAAGACACACAGATGGGGAGAGAAAGACAGATAGACAGGAAGAGAAAGCTGCAGATGGAAATTTGTTCGAACTAAATCACAGGAGAAGTCTGTGTTTATGGTGCATCAAAAAACAACTAACGGCATTTAAGGGGTTAGTGTTAAGGAGCTATTAACACAGATACGAGTTTACTGTTTCCAGAATTATTTACTGAGTATGTTTCTGTTAAACATCAGCTCCTGAAACCTAAATCAGGTCCGTATGACCGATGTTACCCCTCCTTCAGTACTCCTGAATCCACACTCTAAGCACTGCAACAGCATCTCCAAAGCTGATGGAGCATGACAAAATTGATGCACAGTTGCAGTTGGCATAAATATATAATTAATAATACGATATCAACCATGTATTAGGAATTACTTTGAGTATTTTTAAGCATATTACATGCCAGCCCTTTTTTTTTTTTTTTACCAGAACAAGTTTTGTCGTCATCTGGGTGATGAAATACTAAAATTTTCCGCATACCCCCTGCAAAGCACTCACGGACCACTAGGGGTACGTCTACCCCTGATTGGGAATCACAGGGTGTTTCTCAGTGTCAAGGCACCTGGCCTTGTGAGGCGAGGCTTGCTTACGAGAACACTGTCCTTCCTTTGGTCAAAGAAAACGGTTAAATGGAACAGACTTGCATCACGTGACCATGGCTTCCACGGCGGTCACGTAACGTCACGTGACACGGGAGATAACGTTATAGTTTCAATATGAATATATAACGAACCTTTTACTTTTTGCATTGTGTATATGTTTATTAAATTAAATATATAAATGAATTACTACCCGCTAGCCACCGAAGCTGCAACTACTAAGTAAGTAAACAACCATAGAGAACTTGTTTGGATCAAAAAAAAATTTTTTTATTTGTTGACTTAAATTTTAACTTGAAATTTGCTCCCGAAATAGCTGCTGGCTTCTAATCTGCCATCCTTTTGAAAATACCGTGGCGTATTCTGGGTAATTTTTGACCAAGGCTAGGCTACAAGACACCTCCCATGTATGTTTGCTCAGCTAGCTAAATGGCTAACAAACAGAGAACACACGCCTCGGTAGAACATGAACATTGGAACACATCTTGGCGGCTCGTGATGACGTATCTCCTAGGCAACCGGGGCGGGACCAAGACATCAAGGCAAGGTTCCTTGACATTGAGAAACACTCCTTGTCTTAGAAGGTTCTCTGTTTCAACACACCTGATTTGAATCAGTGGGGATTATTAGTTGCCTGCAGAGCTGAATCAGCGGGTTAAATATAAAACAAGCTGGACAGGGGATCTTGATGACCTGGGCTGGGCACACCTGAGTGGAACGTTCCAACACGATTAGAAGAGAACACAGTTAAGGCGTCTGCGTCACTTCCTGTTTTCAATGTTGTACTGCATGTGGCTGTTCAGTGTTTGTGGCTCACTAAAACCAATCAGATTCAGTGTTCAGATTCATTTTTCCCACTGTGACGAGCCTCGTCCCCTCGGTCCGTCCTCTCATCCCAACCTGAGCCTTTTGTCCCCGCTGCAAAAGATCCAGCACCAGGGACAGCGCCAGGAGCGGCCTGCTCACACCTTCCAGCGCCCTTTCAGGACCTCGGAGAGAGGCACGCCAGCAGAGACAGCAGCTGATCTTCACCAGTGATCAAGCAGCTCCCAGCTCTTTAAAAGAGGAGCACTACAGACAGTCTAGGAGATCCTGGATTAGCTGGTGATTCTCCCTTAGCTCACAGACACTTTTGCTACCGTTACCAATCAGGTTTAAGGTTTACACTGTTACCGTTTGGGTTCAAGGTTTGTTGCTAGAGATCCAGGAGTAGCCTGAGATTTTCCCTCGCTCGTTATTTGTTTTAAGGTTTTCTACTAAGGATCCAGGATTAGCCTGGGTTCCTTCTGAGCGTGTTTCACACACCTTGCTAAGGATAAACCTTTTGTGTTGCTGGCTACGGGTTGTTTTCCATAGGGGTTGGGCTTAATTATCCTTTTTAGTGGGATTTAACTGACCTAGGGTCAGTTTTCTGGTTTCGGTGTTGGACTTCTGAGCCGGGGATATTTATCGTTTAGGTGGTTGTCATCTTAGTTTGGCAGAAAGCCTTTTCATAAGCAGTTAGACTGCTTATGTTTTTAGTTTCCCTAATTATTATTATTATTATTGTTAAGCCTTCTTTGCTGTTCAGACAGCGGACACTTTTTGTTAATAAATCCTTTTGTTTTTACTCAAACCTCCTCGTCCTTTACACACCTACACCTATTTTCTTGTGTTAGTCCCCTCATCATCCTAGACCTGCAGAGAGGGGGCGTAACACTGAAACACAGTTAAACAGAGGTGTGTGTGTGTGTGAGAGAGGGAGAGAGTTAAAATAATTTTTTTTTAAAAACCCGACCGAAGTGGAGGCAGTGACCGACGCAGCATGAGCCGTTTTCAGCTCTGTCTTGTCAAATGCACCACGAACGTTACAAAAAAAAGTTACTTTAAATATTCAAGCGAAAAAGACGCAAGCTGAAGAAAACCTAGGGAGCACTGAAGAAACATCAGCAACAGTGAAGCAAGCACAAAGAGATCCGTTACTCTGTGTGTGTGTGTGCGTGTGCGTGTGTGTGTGTGTGTCTGTGTGTGTGCGTGTGCGTGTGTGTGTGTGTGTGCGTGCGTGCGTGCGTGTGTGTGTGTATGTGTATGGGCCAGACGGACTGAGCTCCCGGCTGCAGTTTTGTGTGTAGGGAGGGGCGGGCGCTCTATGTGACTAGCCAATCACAGAGCGTCAAGACAGTCAGTTACCCAATGAGGATTTTCCTTCAGCACGATTACAGATATTTACGAGTTTTACTCTGCTGGCTGTGATCACAAGCAACAACAGAGTAGTTCCTGCTGCTTCTTTATGAAATGGCGCGAAAAAAAAATCAATTAAACTTGGGATCTTGTAGGCGTGGCGCTGGGATTTCAGCCGTGGTGGGCCGCCACGGCTACGCCTATGCAAGAGAAACACTGAGATTTCTCTGTACTGGGACCTTTCTGAGTCACTGTAGCACATGAACACACATTTACTGTTGTTGCATCTAATTAAGGATCCATAGTGACTCTGGTGTCACAGCCTAATTCAAGCATCTCCAAAATTGCTTATTGATTCATATTTTTAAGTTTGACAACCCTAACTTTTTCTAAATGTTGATGTATTAATTCACGTTTTTTATTTTGAAAGGGCTTGGGATCTAAAGGATTAATAGAACACTTTGTTTTTCATATGCTGTACCTATCCCTACTTAAAATCCTGTTCCCAACAGAGTACTTCACTCTCAGACTGCAAGTTTACTAGTGGTAGATGGCCTGAATTTTGTGCAGCGCCTTCTTAGGGTCCTACAACCACCCAAGGTGCTTCACAACACAATCACAATCACTAACCCATTCACACACACATTCACACGCTGGTGAGGATGAGCTACAGTGTAGCTACAGCTGCCCTGAGGCGCAATGACAGAGGCGAGGCTGCCGAACACCACCAGCAGGCAAGGCAGGTTAAGTATCTCACCCAAGAACACATCAGCAGAAATCTGGTCAGAGCTGAGATCAAACCTGTACCCTTCTGATTACTGGACAAACAGCTCTACCTCCTGAGCTACTGCTGTCCCTACTGGTGGTTCCTAGAATATCTAAAAATGGGATGGGATGCAGATCTTTTAGCTATCAGGCTCCTCTCTTGAGGAACCAGCTCCCAGCTTTAGTCCGTGAGGCAGACACATTGTCTACTTGTAAGACTAGGCTTAAAACATTTTAATTAGATAGGGCCTATGGTTAAAATCGTATTTTAGCCTAGATCTGGACAAGTGGGGGAGTAGAGGGAGGTGGAGTGTACAGTCGGTAAAGACGGCTCTCCCTTACCCTGCCTCCAACATGTCTCCATCTAAAAGGCTAGGTTATCCAGAGTTATCTCTGTAGTTATGCTGCTATAGGCTTAGATTGCTGGAGGACATACTGACCACTTTCCACATTCTACTACTTTCTTCCACAATCTGCTCTTTAACTGTATTATTTCCTGCTTTTTCAGCTGTTAACTTTACTTTTTCTCTTAGTGTTTTTCTCCCCAGAAGAAGCGACAATGACGTTCTGCTGAGCTGTGGTGGCCTCATGGAGGGAGCCATCAGCTAGCACACTGCTGCTAACCACTTAAACATTCTCTCTCTCCTGATAATAACATTTTACTCTCTTTGACATTGAATGTGCTACTACTAGTTTACCTGTTTAATAATAGATTCACTAGGATAAATGCAATAAATTTTATCTCTCACCAAATGGAATATTTACTAAGAAATCACAATGTAACCATAGAAACACTACTTGGGTTTATATTTTGTGTGTGTGTGTGTGTGTGTGTGTGTGCGTGCGTGCGTGCGTGTGTGCGTGCGTGCGTGCGTGCGCTCTGTCTTCTCCATCCCCAGTGAGTCATGGTGGATGGCTGCTTATACTGAGCCAGGATCCTACGGAGGTTTCTTCCTGTTAAAAGGGAGTTTTCTTCTCTACTGTTGCTAAATGCTTGCTTAGTATGAGGATTGCTGTAAAGACTTGATGCAACCTGCTGGGTTCCTTATTTAGGAAACTTGTTACAGATTGGCTTAATGACCTGACCTGTATTGGAATGTTTACTGTGTGAAGGTCCTTGAGACGACTCTGGTCCTGACATGGTGCTTTATAAATAAACTTGAATAGAATGTGAATAACTCCGTAAAAACGAGGGCTGAGCAATGTGGCTTAAAAATAGCTCTCAGATCTTTTCATTCCCAATCAGATTTCTTATTTATTCGATTCTTTATTTTCCTTTTTGTTCATTAAAATTGTTACAGAACTAGGATAAAATATATTATTTGCTTTTATTTGAACCATTTCTTCTGTGAGTCAACCTGAATTCAGTGTCCAACTAAATACAAGCTGTTGAATCTGCTTCTAAACCAAGATATCCCAATTCAAGCTATTTGAAGGCTCCAATAGATTTTTAGAAAAGTTAGGTGTTAACAGTTGTAATCTGGTGAATTTTAGACCGAACCTTTAGCTGCCAATGTTTGGCCTGTTTATCACAGCTGTTTTGTCTTTTAGACATGCATACACATTTATGTTCAGCTGCTGTTTGGCTGAATTGTTATTTTTACTTCATTCTGTCAAAAAGCAAACGGAAGAAGGCAGCAAATATTTTAAAGAGTCAGATCCATTCAGACTAGAGATCAACTGATACAGGTTTTTCTAATCCCGATACCGACATGTAGCGGTCATGGTACACTGATGGCCGACATGCAGCTCATTTTCATGGCTGATATCTAGATGTTTTCTAACTCAGGTTTCTGTCAAAATGTCACAAATAACATTTCGGAACCTGATCAGTTTTTGAACTCTGAATTTAACTACTCTTGAATCTTAATTTTGTACAGGACACAGTATTAGACTAGAAAATTTAACCAGTTAATCAAACAAGTCCATAAACTGACCAAGTTTTGACACGGTTGACCATCACCTGCTACTGGAGAGGCTGAGAGACTGGGTAGGCCAATCAGGATCTGCTCCAGAGTAGTTCTCCTCTTATCTGTCTGAGCGTTCCTTCTCTGTGGCCATCTCCGAGTTTAGGTCCTCCTCCACCTCCCTCACCCATGGTGTCCCACAAGGTTCTGTGCTGGGCCTCTACTCTTCCTCATCTATCTGCTTCCACTGCAGCACATCCTGAGCTCCGTTAAGAGTCTCTTACCATGTTTATGCAGATGACATCCAAACGTCTCTCTCTAGATAAGCGATCTATTGAAAATCACTTTGAGTCTGTGAAAACATTTAATCTCTTTAGCCACTGTAATAAATTGTAAGCCAGAATAACTTAAAAACAAAAGTTCACTAGCTGCCTTAAAAAGTTGAGTCATGCTAACTTGAATAATTTCTTTCAACTCTAAATGTCAAGTTGTACAAATATCATAAATATTAACTTTGCTTTGTTTGAACATTATATTGTGAGTTGACACAACAAATCTTGTTAGATTACCAAGTGGAAAATAACATTGTCTTGTTAAAAAAACACACAATTCTACATTATTTTAACTAATAAATTTAAGTTAAGACTTAAGTTTGTCCATTCAAATTAAAAGTTTATGTTGACTGAACAATGGTTCGTACTATCGTTTGTACTCATGTTAACAATATGGCGGCTGTCGTGCCAATACGGGCAAAGGGTGAAGCAGGAAGCTAACAGCTAACCCTAACCCTAATACACCGTGTGACTGCAGGCAGCCAGGGGGACTGAGTCCAGAGCAGAGCCTAACCCTAACCCTCCTCACTTATGGTGCCAACATGACAACAAATAACTCCACATCTGGAACCCTGACCAAAGCAATAAGTAAGAACCCCCCCCCCCCCCACCCCCCCACCCCACTCCCATAATAAACATGCCTAAACAACTCAAATTAGAACTAAATAACAAAGAGCCTGATTACCCACTTCACTATATTCATATAAAATACTCTAATTATTGAATGACAGACAGACGGGAAGAGACATAGACCTCACCCACCTACCCCCACCCAGTCAGAGATCTTCATGCTCATGCTCTCTTCCTCACTAACTTGTCTTCATGCTGCTGGCCCTGTCTTTCTCAGGATCTCACGTTAAATTTCTCTTTTCGTTTTATTCATTTTTAATCTTAATTTTAACTTTTTTCTCCCATTTTTGATGAGGATCCTTTGGAAACCTTGTTTATTTATATTTTTGTTCTTGAATGCCTCGTGTTTCTTATCTTTTTTAAAAAGTCCTTTCTTCTTTTATTTGTGGACATTACTTAGTAAAAGCATCTCACCTCCTGTCTCTTGAAGTTCAGAACCACCTGCTCAAACTGCTCATCCTTGGTTTCGTCTGCTTTTCCCAGCTTCTGAAGAACCTGAAGAAAAGTTCAACATACACAGAATCACCTGGAATGTTCCGACAGAAGTTCAGGAACAAACTGTGTGGATTCAAGAGTCAGGATGTTCTAAAGGTTCTCTTAGAGGCTCCAGCTGATCCTGACTGGATCTGGTTTTGCAGCTTCAGCATCAGCTCATCCCCAGATGAACCAGCTGCTCCCATCACGCATCTGACTGGTTAACAACTGATCTAGGTCTGACCCGACCTTAATGGTCCCAAAACCTGAGGAAGGTTTTCCTTAGGAAGCCCATGTTGGACTCAGACCAGGTCTCTGCAGAACCGAACCCTGAGGAGCAGGTTCTAGTGGTTTCTGGACCAGGTCTTGCAGTTTTTTTACTTCTTAAAATCGTTCTCAAGTACGCGTGCGCGAACACCTGTCGGCCGTCACCTGTTTAAAACAAGCGCGCGACCGCGGTGACGTCACGTTCAGATGGCGATAATCCGCCAATCCAAATTCACTCCAATTTCGGAACATTTTTCTGTTTTTATCAGCGGATTCGGACGGAGAATCGGTGACGTCATCCTCTCCGCGAGGATCGGCTGATGATCAAAGATACTGTGGGAAACACTCGGATGGGAGATCAGATCAAAGAGACGCTGCAGAGGCCCGACCCCAGCTCCTCCATCAGCCCCCCACCTCACCCAGAACCGAACCAAACCCAGCAGAACCTCCCACCTTCTCCTGCGCGCGGTTGAGACGCTTCTGCACGTTTTTAGCGAAGATTCCAGTCTTAATTTCCGCCATGATGACAGCAGAGACACTGGAGGATTACCGGACAGCAGCAGTACAGGGAGAGCGTGCGCGTGCGCGGAGGGGGCGGAGCAGAGAACAGGTCTGTCCGCCGATTGGCTCCCCCTCCTGCACAGCTCCAGCTGATCATTGTTTATCTGAGATAACGAGTTTGGGTCGGAAGCTTGTTTCTGAAGCTGCAGTAGTCCGACCAGAACCGGGTCCAACACCAGCATCATCCATGTTCTACACACAGGCCTGGTCCTTGTGGTCGGGTCCAGCCCGGGACCAGTCCAATCAGTGAGAGATCCTCTCAGACATCATTCTGAGGTCTACAGAAACAATCTTAGCAGAACCTCCGCTAACCCAAAACCAGAAGGCAGCAGAGCGCCTTTGGTCTTCTTCCAGAAATTAAGCAAATGTGTTTCAGTGGAACCCGTCTAAATATTTCCACATCAAAACTGAACAACACCAGTTCATCTGTGAACCAGGCCACACTGGTTCTGAACCAGTTTACAACCACTAATGTTTGGAGCCCACACAGACGTCTGGATGCTGATTATGTTCTGTGATCTTTGACTCCAGCTCAAGTACAGCAGATGTCTGTCTATGTTAGAGGACATCTATGTTAGAGAATGTCTATGTTAGAGGATGTCTATGTTAGAGGATATCTGTGTTAGGGGGCATCTATGTCAGAGGACATCTGTGTTAGGGGGCATCTATGTTAGAGGACATCAATGTAAGAGTAAATGGTAAATATAGCACCTTCTAGAGTCATGGAACCCCTCAAGGCACTTTACAGCACAATCAGTCATTCACCCATTCACACACTGGTGGGGATGAGCTACGATGTAGCCACAGCTGCCCTGGAGCGCACTGACAGAGGCGAGGCTGCCGGGCACTGGCGCCACCGGTCCCTCCGACCACCACCAGCAGGCAACGTGGGTTAAGTGTCTTGCCCAAGGACACAACAACAGCGACAGACTGAGCGGGGCTTGAACCTTCAACCTTCCGATTACGGGGCGAGCACTTAACTCCTCTGCCACCGTTACCCCTCAAGAGGACATTTATATTAGAGGACATCCACATATGAGGACATCTATGTTAGAGAACGTCTATGTAAGAGGATGTCCACATATGAGGACATCTATGTTAGAGGATATCTATGTTTGAGAACATCTATGAAAGAGGATGTTCACATATGATATCTATGTTAGAAAACATCTATGTAAGAGGATGTCCACATATGAGGTCATTTATGTTACAGAATATCTAGGACATCTATGTTAGAGAATGTCTATGTTAGAGGGCATCTATGTTAGAGGATGTCTATGCTAGAGGACATCTATGTAAGAGGACGTCCACATTAGAGGATGTCTATGTTAGAGGGCATCTATGTAAGAGGACATCCACATATGAGGACATCTATGTTAGAGAACGTCTATGTAAGAGGATGTCCACATATGAGGACATCTATGTTAGAGGATATCTATGTTTGAGAACATCTATGAAAGAGGATGTTCACATATGATATCTATGTTAGAAAACATCTATGTAAGAGGATGTCCACATATGAGGTCATTTATATTACAGAATATCTAGGACATCTATGTTAGAGAATGTCTATGTTAGAGGGCATCTATGTTAGAGGATGTCTATGCTAGAGGACATCTTTGTTAGAGGACGTCCACATTAGAGGATGTCTATGTTAGAGGGCATCTATGTAAGAGGATGTCCACATATGAGGTCATTTATGTTACAGAATATCTAGGACATCTATGTTACAGAATGTCTATGTTAGAGGACATCTATGTAAGAGGATGTCCACATATGAGGTCATTTATGTTACAGAATATCTAGGACATCTATGTTACAGAATGTCTATGTTAGAGGACATCTATTTTAGAGGATGTCTATGTTAGAGGACATCTATGTAAGAGGATGTCCATATATGAGGTCATTTATGTTACAGAATATCTAGGACATCTATGTTAGAGAATGTCTATGTTAGAGGACATCTATGTTAGAGGATGTCTATGTTAGAGGGCATCTAAGTTAGAGGATGTCTGTGTTAGAGGATGCCTATACAAGAGACTTCAGACAGCTGGAGGACATACTTGGTTGTCCTGACCCCTTTAGTCATGCTGCTGTAGACTCAGACTGTTGTAGAATGGAGGACTGGTCCCGTCTTCCTTTTTTCACAGACCTCAGTTTGTCCCACAGCCTCAGGATGGAGCGCTGTAGAAGACAGGTATATTTTACAGTAAAACACCGGCAGCTGAAACTCCACCCTAAGATTACAGGTAAAGCGTAGATGTCTATACGTCCATGCATACACACACACAAACACTCCATGACATAGTCAGACACACACACTATTTCAATACACTCTCCAATAAGTGTGTGTAAATGCTTCTCATGTGCACATTAGTACAGTGCAGATGCAAAAGCAGTTAAGATAAATATTACAAATTACATAAAATAATTAAATTAAACTAAATTAAATTAAATTAAATTGAATAGAGTAAACTTAGTAAAATTGCTCAAATTAAATACATAAATAAAACCAGTAAGAGAGCTCCTCAATCATAAATATATAAAAATAATAAAAGAGTTCCTTCATCTTAAGATTCTCTGAATAAAAATGTTTTAATACTATCCTAAGTACCTGAGCAGGTGAGTTTAAAGGAGTCCACTGAGTCCACTGATCTCAGGCTCAGGGGGAGAGAGGTCCAGAGTCTGGGGGCCACAGCAGCAGATGATCTGTCACCTTTGACCTTTAGCCTGGTGCTGCACAACCAGTAGGCTTTGGTCACTGAACCTCAGGGACCTGCTGGGGTTGAAAGGATTGAGAAGATCACCAATGTAAGATGGTGCTTGTCCATGTAAGGCCCTAAAGACCAGAACCAGGATCTTGAAATGAACCCTGAAGCTGACTGGCAGCCAGTGAAGCTGGAGGAGAAGCGGGGTGATGTGGGTGTGTTTGGAGGACTTGGTCTTGGTCAGAAGCTGAGCACAGGCATTCTGAACCACCTGCAGACGGTTCAGGGAGGTTTTGCTTAGACACGTGAAAAGATAGTTACAGTATTCTAAGCGTGAGGAGATGAAGGTGTGGAGAACTGTCCCAAGTTCAGATCGGGACAGAATTGTACTCCGCTTAGCAATGTTCCTGAGATGGAAGAAGGAAGAGCAAACAAGAGAACTGAAATGAGAATCCAGGGTGAGAGCTGGGCCAAAGGTCACACCAATATTCCTGACAGAGGGTTTGGTGTGAGAAGAAAACTGACAAAGAGAGTCTCTGACTTTGGGAACCAACTTGTCTGGGGCACAGATGAGGATCTCAGTCTGATCATCATCCAGCACTAGAAAGTTTCCACCATCCAGGTTTTAATAGAGTCTAAGCAGGTGTGGAACAGCTGCAGCTAAAGGTTGGTTTATGCTTGACGCGTCCGCGAGGTCCGCACGGCTCCACACGGCGAAATTGCGTCATTTTAACAACCGCGCCTCCGCACGGCCCAAAATTTCCGCAACGCGCACCTAGGAAAATTTCTAACCACGTGGACGGTCGGATGCAGAAAAACATGGCGGACCGGCAAGAACTAGTATGGCAGAGAATCGTACATACAGACATGTGTATGATTCAGCTCTCAGAAATCACCGTCATCAACATGTTGTTAATAATTCTTGGAGAGAAATAGCTCACACTGTCGGAAAAGATGCGGACGCTGTTAAAAATGCTGGAATGCCATGTTGTAAACAGTAATTTCAACTTCTACTATGGTGTAGTGTTGGATGCATGCCGTAGAGCTCCATGCTGCCCTGTTCAGTTTGGGAGAATATTGGCTCAAAACAGAGACAAGCCGCATGAACCATAAATGCTGCGAGTTGTGAAGCGCGTTCCATCCGCGAGCCGCATCACCGCGCGGAAAGTGAATGCATCAAGCATAAACCAAGCTGTAGACATCTCATGGGGCTTAAAGGAGTTGTACAGTTGGATGTCATCTGCGTAAAGATGGTAAGAGATTCCTAGGAGCTCAGGATGTGCTGAAGAGGAAGCAGATAGAGGAGGAAGAGTAGAGACCCTGTTGTCGCCAAAAAGGTCAAGAGGTCATCTACAACATATGAGTTGATTTATGAGTCCTTAGGTTAAAAGCTTACTGAGATTGTAGGAGCCAAAAGCTGTGTTCTGTGTACGTGAGGTTTAACATGCTGTTTTTTCAGTCCAGCTTATGTAAACCAGCTCCAGTAAACCTTGAGCTCTCGGATCATATTGGGATAACAGGGCTCGTCGACCTCTGGGCTGGAGGGTGCGTCGACCATATTGGGAAGTGTAAACATCACCCCATCCTCTTTCCAAATATCAAAGGACTGTGGGAGTAACCCAGGGACAAAAAGTATAAATTTAGGACTCCACATTTGGTCGAGGTCTTTTGTCTTTGGCTGTCCTGAGCTGTGAGATGAATGAATAAAGAGACCCGCGCTGTCTGACTGAGATGCCCGTCTCCGACTCCTTCTTTAAGAATAACAGAGAATGCCCACAACCCAAGCACAGAACCTTGTGGGACACCATGGATGAGGGAGGTGGTGGAGGACTGAAACTTGAAGACAACCACATAGAAGGAACGCTCAGACAAATAAGAGGAGAACCACTCCAGAGCAGTTCCTGATATACCTACCCAGTCTCTCAGCATCTCTAACCTTATTGACTTGTCCATCAAGAAAGAGACGTTTTCACAGTTTGCAACAGAGTGGATGTAGGCTATAGGTGAAGCAGGAGAAACAATAATGATTGGGACACCAGGTTGGAGCACTCTCGTCTCTGACTGCAGAAATAAAGGATGTCAGAAGATCCTTTAGATGCAGCAGATGGATGTGGAGATGGGGTTTCTTCCACAAGAGCAACATTTTTCTGCATTGGTGCTTCAGGCTGAATGCTGTCGTTAAACCAGGGAGTAGGGTTCACTGCAGGAACTGATCTGGTTCTGACTGGACAGATGTTGTCCAGAATAGAGAGGCAGTGCTCATGAGCAGTTAATAATATAATCAGAAAATGTTATTAAAAATGGGTTTTCAGTTTTTCACATATTTAAGGAGTGCCTCGTATGAATGATCAGAAAGGTTATGTGCTCAGTGATCCTTCATCATCAAATGTTGGATGAAGG